TTCGCGCGTCGAAAAATTAAGAAATATTCTTCCTGGTGAATATCCTTCGGTAAATAATAAAATTACTCTAATTTATGTTCGTGTCTGTTACGGCAACTTCCTGTATTACATATGCGAATATTTGCGTGAATTTGTTTTCTGGATTATATGCATGGTTTATTTATTTTTCCTTGATATATTTTGACAAGATTATTAAGCAGCATGTGTTTGCTGGAATGCATTAAAAAAACCTAGGGTCTTGTATTCTTCGTTGAATACGGGTCAACCTGATACGCAGTTCTTGCAAAACTCTCCTGGGGTTGACGATATTTTAAAATTTAGCAACTCTGTCGCAAGTGAAATTGTTGAACGAGGAAACCGATTCTATTTTTAAACTTCAGCAATGGTGAGGAACGTGTTGTGAGTCAGTTTCAGGCTGACGGGGAAAATTTGTTGATCGATGCCGTGACATCCCTGGGTAATTTTACCCACCAGAGATATCCCGCCGTTATTTATTGTCTGGTGAAAAAAAAACTAGAAAGATTGCATCCAAAATTGGAGTTCAATCCAGTAGGAGAGCACCGGCGTTTGCTCTTAGCTTATCCGTCTCGAGGGAGCTTTTCAGTGTCCCCTTCTGTCGCAGTTTCTTGAAAGCCCGGTGAGATTTCTTGGTGCGGCACTTTTTTCCACCCTTCTTTTTTTCTCTCAACTGTATGTCGTACATCTTACGAATGGAAGCCCCTGGAGTGACGTTAATTCGCAAGTTGCCAAGGATAGACATGTTCTGGTCGACGCTGGGAAAATTGAAGAGACTACCTTCAGGTTTTTATTCTGTTCTGAAGAAAACCTCGCCGTGTGGACGTGTTGCTAAGGATCTCGGAAGAACGAAGCGAAATTCAGAGTTCGTCGTTTTTTTTTTGTAGGCTTTTTGAATACTTTATTCAAGTCGGAGGCTGTGAAAGTTCGTCCATTTTTTATTCGTCTTAGAGTCAGAGAAAAATTTCCTGACTTCCTTTACACGCCAAGGTCCAGCTGTTTTAGAAGTCTTTAGTTGTTGTTTGAGCTCACTTTAAAGAAAAAGTGTCAGATTAATAATTTAATTGCTTTTCTGAAAGCATGAAGGGATTGTTCTTCTAGTGGACCGCCTTGAACACTTTCGTTGACCCTAAAGGAAGATAACGCGGACGTCTTTTAAATAAGCTGCACCTGCCCTTGTCAAAAGTATACGCTCCGATGTTTTTTTCTGGGCTTCCTACGTAGGTGTTATGGTCAAGTGTAAAGACAGAGAAGGGATTGCCAAAATAAAATATCGTACGGTTTTGCTGTTCGAGAAATGAAAACGAACCTTTTTACATGAAAGTTATGCATATTACGAGTTTTCCACCAATAATAAGGTACTAAAGATTAGTCAATATTCAAGCGATCACAAATTCCAATAAGCACAAAGACTTCGTATGGGACGTTCCGAAATTTAAAACACCTATTAAATTCAATTCCAAAATTCTGAAATTCGCATTAAAGTGAGGGAGCAGGTACCCAAGAGAAGAAGAGTGGATTAAAAAAAAAATTGGTAATGGCCATTGAACATTTTTGTCTTGAAGATTTTCTCCTGAAAAGCCACCCATTCCCAGTATCGAATATACCATAGAATCTAGATCGGAAGTGTAGTAATCTTCGATTCCGAACTGAGCTTGTGAGTGCAACTAACCTTGAGCTCAATATAAACGGGACGAACGTTAGGGAGAGTAAGAAAACAACCCAACTACCTGACGCCAACGAAGTTAACATGCCTCAAAGATTCCGTACGATTTGTCAACATACGTCAACACAAACACATCGGACCTTTGTTGGCTGGATATGAAATAGGATGTGGCAGACGAACTGAGACGGATTGGAAAAAGAAGAGGCGTCTCCGTGTTGTTTCGATCGCGGTGGAATATTGTGACGAATGATACGAAAGCACAGAGTGGGGGGCCCGGGTTGATGCATCAGTTTCCGGAATGGCGGACGAAGTGCTTTTGCAGCCATGCACGATGTATTGTAGGGTTCGCGATGGTCATGCGGCTAGCGAGGAACGTAAACAAGGCCAAAGGCCATGTAGCAGCGCTTATATTGAGCACCGGCCGAGTAAGTAGACACGTTCCACTTGACCTCTACAACCTTCCATAGCCGAGGAACCAAATGCCCGAGTTCCTTGAATTTTAACCTTTTTTAGCGGTATAAAACTCCAAGATTAACTGTAACGCTTGGAATCGCGAAGGAAAAAAGAAGAATAAATCCGCAGCTGAATCTAAAAATTCATTGCATCTTCTTTAAATAATTTGAAAAAATTCCCTCAGCACTGTATGACCTAATATTAGTACATATCAATTTTTAAAATTACAACGCATGCTCTTCTCAAACGCAAAGCATTGATAAGCTAAACAGCACAAAGCTCGATTACGTAATGGAGTAAAATTTACCTCTTAAACTCAATTAAGACAATTGTTTATCAACTTTTACTTGTTTTTGTAACGGCTTACGAAGGAGTATGAGTGTGCATCTTCAAGTTCAAAATACACAGACTAAGACTAGTACGAAAGTATATTAATAGGCACCTTCCACTTACAAGTAACGCGTAATGAGGATCATTATTGTGGTGGTTTTTTAATCATGCCATAAATTATTAGCCTTTTGCTTGCGGAAAAAATGTGCATGCTGATTTTATTGACTAACTTACTGTAGTTGGCACTATATACGCGTGAATATGCTGTTGAACACGTGCGTCTCGAATTTTTACGGCACATGTTCGTGAGATGAACAAAATGCGAAGACCATCATTTTTGTATGGTTTTTATATCAGGATGTTGAAAACGAGAAAGAAATTGGGACATTGCCTTGGCCCTGCGTTGGGAGAATTGTCCGCCGTTCCGCAGAAGCGAAAATGGGAAGTTCCGCATGGTTGTCTATTCGGATGATTGATTGATGGCGGCCAAGAGCCGGGCGATATTTCCTCCCCCCCCCCCCTCCAACCACTTTTATATATTTTTTTCTGTTGTCATTGGATAGATGAAGTTCAGAGTTTCATACTTTTCCTCCCTTCTGCGATAGAAGAATAAGTTGTGTGACGTTGCTGTCGCGGAGGCCCCGGTGGTGTCGTGCACAGCGTCCGAATCGGCCGGAGGGGGAGGTTTAATTGCCGGACGGAAGTCGATTTCTCCGGCCCTGGGCTGTGATGGGAATCGTGACCCAGGGAAAACAGTCATGGAAAGCGGAGGGAAAAAGGAGGGTGGTATTCCATAGTCATTCCGCGGCGATGCTCCCATGAGAACCATGTGTCGCGTCGTGGTGGCATAGCCAGGAGAAGAGGTCTCCGTTTAGGGCCGGCCTGGCGAAGGTCGGCGACATGGAATGCTCTTGTTGTTTGCCTCGATCGGGTCTATGGGCGACCGAAAAACTCCTGGTTGACGCGAGGAAAGGCTGTATGCATTGTAAAGGATACATTACATACATTTCAGTCGCATAGACCCGCAGCATCACAAGTTCCACTTGACAAGATTTGATATGAATGCATTCGAAAACATATTTGGCAATTCTCTACACCCATGGATAGATTGGTTATCCAAATTTTAAAAATAAAAAATTAATATTCACAAAAATACACGAATAAATTAAGAGCATCGTCAATAGTCGGTGCGTTAAATTAATGTATAACAAATGTTTGCTCCCAATTAATTCGTTTTAATTAATTCGTCTACAATGTAATTTTTATTTATCTATGAAGATTTTTTTGAATAACGAAGCTTTTTGTTGCCCCAATTGCGTCATTGTCTAGCAACGATGAGACTTCATTGCAGCTAGATCATTAGGACTTAGTTGATCCAAAAGTTGGTTCTAGTGTTAAATTCGCCTCAACGAAGTATAAGCTTGACTTCCGTTTGCAGTTTGTCTTCTCGATGCCGCAAAAATTGCAAAATTAATATTGATGCTCCTTTTTTACACTCTTTGGGAACGGGTGTTTAGAACATTTTTGAGCATGTGGCGGCGAGTCTCAGATCTGCCGCAGAACTTTTTTCTTCGCTTCGAAGAGTTTGAAGATTAAGGCGCATATTGGTATGCCGTCTTCTATTCACGTTAATACTGTATGTGTATTCGTCTTCCGAATTATCGTATCAGTAGCCTTCTTGTTTCCTGCATTGGAGGCTTTCAGACGAATGAACTATTTTTTTTTTAATTTTTAAACTTTTTTTCGAGAATGTACATCCAGCTGATTTCACGAAATATGGGTGGCGGTTTTCTTTTTGGTAGTCAACCCATCGGAAAGAAGAAATCTTGGGATTTTGTTATGATGTATCTCTGCTTTTTTGTCAGTTGTTTGTTATTATAAAATAAATTGTTCTTCTATTTCGCGTGGTTGGAAAGAAATTGTTGGAAGGGGTTGTCCTTGGCTTGACCAGTTTATGTCGGTGGAACGAGTTCGTTTCTATAATTTATTTTTTTGCGTCGGAGATTTTATCTTGAGCCCTGACTTCTGCAACGCCTCCTGGGACTGCCACATGTAACGATCCTTTCTGCCTGCAGTAGTGTCTTTCCTTTACAAATGAATTTGTGTTTATATCTTTTAGCATTCGATTATGAAAAATGAGAAAATATTTTCAAGAAGTGATTCACGATCCTTGTGGGGACAATTAAATCGGAAAACCGCCGCAATACCTTACCTTTTTAAAATTCAAAAATTTCAAGACCCAGGGTTCGGTAGAAGTTCCATATCCGTTCTGGTTCTAGTTCTTGAAAGACCCCGCCTGGAAAGAGCTTCATCTTCACGTTTCTGATAACGTATTCTCATCTGGAGTCGCTCATATTATCAAGTGATGCATTTCCCGAGAGACGTTACTGGAAGAAGAGCGAAATGAAGGGCGCGTGTACCCGCCTGGTACATGGAAATCGAAGTACTATTTGACAGCACAACACTGTGCTCTGTTTAAAACATGACCAGGGTGAATGCCCGCCTACGTGCCTAGATGTGATACGAATGATTCTGTTTTTCTTCTGCAGGATGTGCTCGATGTTTTTGCCGGAGATCGCCAGCTTCGTTGCTGCCATGCTGTTCGCTGTTCATCCTATCCATACAGAAGCGGTGAGTTTTCTGTTTTCTCTCATTTCGAATTAAAATTTCCCAATGAAGGACTGATCGAAAACAAGACTTGACGTTAGCCTCTGTTTATTTGCTGAATAATTTTTTCCATACCTCCTTGACTGGGCAACGTTTTGATCACCATTTCATATGCTCGGGCAAGCCTTCCTCCGGAGTCCCTGTAATTTCTATAATTAGCAAGTTTTCGTCAATTTCAAGACGGTGTCACTAACAGCATTTTTCATTTACGCTGCATTTCGAATAATTTGTGATTTTCAAAATTCCTGCAAATGAAAAATTCAGTTATAGCCGGTGGACGTCATTTTCACTCAGTAATAGGTGTATTTTCAGCTCTGATTTATTATTACTGATTTCAACGTGGGTCGGTGATATATTATTACTGATTTCAACGTGGGTCGGTGGAATTTGACACGGTGCTGGGGTATTCTGAAATGGATCCGATATTATTCTACAAAAAATGCAATCCATTTCCATTCATTCAGCCAGACCAAACAAAGGAAGCTAAGCGGTGAAAAATTTATGATCCAACCGTCGTATTTCCATTAAAGCAGAATTTTGTGGTCCAACTTTCTTATTCATTTCATGCTTTACGAAAAATAGAGAAATATAAAAAGAAGTCTCACGCTTTCGCAATCCAAATGAGGATTCATGATCCTGCATGAAACCTCTGAATGCAGATGCGAAAAGCCTGGCCGCCGACCTAACCTTTTTAGGAAAGATCATTTATCTCGGTTTGTGCGGAATCAACGAGCTTCGCCGTTCCGACGATTCTAAAAGTAGCACAAATTGACGTTTCAGATGATTTCTTAGCTGGCATTTAGCAGAGGGTTCAATTAAGGTCAGTGACGGGTGAAGGGAATGGCTTTGTAATGCCTACGTGCGCAAGTTTGTTCTTCTCATTTCCGTCGCATCTCGGGGATATCCGGAAGGCTGGAGGGCCAGTGAATGGACCGGAAGCCGCTGTTCTTCGTCGCGTGAAAGAACGACGATCCTCGACGGCGACTGAGTGGTGGCTGCAATGATGCGTTTCTTTGAAAAGCCCAGAGTCGCGTTATTAGCCGGATGAGAAGTGCTGGGTGTTGTATCGAGTATGAGGCGAGTTGACTCGGGGGGCGCGTATATATGTGCAATATATATATATTTCCTTCTTTTCCCCTTTTTTATTTCTGGAGGGTGCGAATGAATGAGTGTGCGAGAGAGCTGATCTCGCGAGAGCGGAGAATGATTCCGCCTCTGGGTGCCTAGGGTGTAAGAAAGTGACATTCGCATAGTTTCCTCTTTTTTTGTTGTTGTTGAACTTGGCACTGTGGGTTCGTTTTGCTTTTTCTGCTGCTGGGATTGCGGACAAGACATCGTCTTGCTCCCTTCGGTTCAACGTTCATCCTTGTTTTCGGATTTGTTTTCCTATTTTTTAATCCACATCATACTGATTGCGCAGTCCTTTTTGCCGCGAGTCATGTTCTCGGATCTCCCATTTCCGGTACAGTATCTACAAAATTTTGGAAAATCGAAGATTGTAAAGCATGACGTAACTACTGAACGATAAAAAAGCGTCTCATATCTACGCTTTGGTCTCCTGATTGGTTTTAGTTACCGATTTCGAGAGAACTTCTTGTTTATTTTTCAAATTTTAGATGGTGGTAAATTTTTATCTTTTAGTCGCTTTTGATGTTAATTTAAACGAAACAACCCTGACCATAAAGTTTTCAAATTCTTTGAGTTTTCTGAGCTTTTGTGCTTTTCGAATGACTCTTGAAGTTTCCAAACTCGAAGAAGCAAGCATGTTGCAATTTTCTCTCCAAGTTTATTGCAATAAAATGTGAGTTCTGGGTATTCCAATGCAAAGAAGATCATAAAATGTTATTCATTCGTATGCGATTGAATAAGTAAAGGTTTTGCGTTTTTAAACATTTTACTGTATTATACTAGACGATTTTCCAAACCATTTGAGAAATCGCTGAGAATCGATCTACTTTTGTGATCCGGCCTGTAGATTCGTTTTAAACTGATGGTCAAGCTCTCATTTGAAGCGTGGATTAATTACTTCGTATTATCGATAGAACATGTTTCATATCGTTTTGATAAATAATTTTATTTGATCAGCTTACAAGTTCGAGAAAAAATTCAACGAGTTCACACACTCTTCTGGATTAATAATTTAATTTTGCGATAAATGCGCGATATTTGCCCATTCTTCACCTCGCAATGATGTACGGACAATGTAAAATTTTAAATCAAGATGGAAATGTGTTGTTCTTGCGGAAATGTCTAATCTTAACGATCTCTTTTCGTTGTCTTCGACTAGTAATATTGGTTGGCACTCTATTATTGAACAATTGCGACGCGTTGATCGATGCATTCTGTAGCAAAGTTGTAGAATTCTTGAATTCCGGAAATGCCGACACATTCATGCTTCTTTTCTTTTACGCTGCCCACACTGGCGACGGAATGAGGACTAAGATTGCCATTGATTGTTTGAAAATCCGCCGGGTTCTCATGACTCCGATGTTGTTGATGTCGATGATGATGATGATGACGAGTATTTCTTCGGCGGTAACGAGAGTCCGTGTGTGTGATTTGGCGCGTGGCGTTTCCTCGTTTCCCATGATGACCCTTGCGTGGTCCTTCCGGGCAAATTAAACTCGGGGTGCCTCTACGTCGATGAGCGACGTGCTGAAGAACACCGTCAGAACCGGATGTTGTGATCGAGCTTATCGGGATTTCATTTGCCGTCAGCGCCGTGCTCGACGCCGAATCCGATATTTCTGCCGGAGGGCCCTCGTTCGACGCAATTAGCGGTAAATAATGCCGCGAGACGCAACGGAGTAAATAAAATAGGCTATTAGCCTAAAGAAAGAGGGCTCTTAGTGCGCAGAGAAAGCCCTAGGCACTATTGAAGGTACAAGCTTTCGAAACGACAGACTGCTGCATCAGCAATTGGCCATCGAAATTATATTTTATCTAGTTTGGACGCCAGTGGAAAGTGCGAAATAAAATCAAACCGAAAACATAAAGCTCGGAATCTCCTTCTGATTTTCATTGATTATTATAAATATGCTTGCCCTTGATAGTTCACAAAACCGCTGGGTAGCGAAGAATGAGTTATTATAGCGGAGAATTTCTCTAGTATTATTTGGTGAAATGAAAAAAGCGATTCATTTTAAACTACTCGTTGTTGTTCAGAGGAAATGTCAATCCATTCCGACCAGAACAATTTTAAACAAATATAATTTAAAATTACTTCCATGCAACGGGAAGCTTTCCTGCGGGAAAGGGCTCTATTTTTAAAAGGTTTGTGCGGTTACCCCTACAAAGACACTAAGAATAACTTCCTGAGGGAAAAAGCGTCATCTCTTACGACCGTTGTTCAGTGTATTTGCAACATTTTGGTAGAAATCAAACTTCGATTACATTTGCTGATGTAAATTATGCGAAAAAAATAAATATCTGGTGGGAATGTATTCATGTGGATGCAACTCAGATGACAGTCGAGAAACCCCGGAGCAGTAGAACATGACAGCCGACATGACGATCTTCAAAAGGGAGAATAAAAGGGAGCCTTCTTTCAAGCTCACAAAAACCATTATCTCTGCGATCTTCTCCACCTAATATCTGCCAATTTTTTAGTCAGCTCTTTTTATGCACCTCAAGGGTAAACACTACATGTTTTTCAAGTCATTCCGGATTTTGGCTGCTTGTATCGGAGTTCTATTTGGTATACAAGCCAGAAAAGATAACATTTGTTATGATGATACCGTTATTGGCGTGCATAATTTCTGAGAAACTCCATGTGAGCGATACGCAATTAAAAAGCCTTCCCAGAGAACGTTATCAAGTCTACTGCTAGCTAAAATCAGTGAAGCCCTATTTGTGAATTAAGATTCAGGAGATGCCATCGGATGCCTGCGTCGGGGATGAAAATGTACTTTTCTCCATCGACGATGTAAATTTTCGATTACTAGTGAAAGGGGTTTGCCCTTTGTAAAAGGTTTTTAAGACGAAAGGCACCACGTTACTCTGCTGAAACTAGCGTCTGCTACACTTTCTTTCTTTGACGCCGGGAGACTTTTCCCTACGTCCGCTTACTTAAGCATTATTGCCCTTAAAAGACCGCGGTGTATGTCAGCGTCTGGCTGCGAAAAATCACGTTATACGAGATCCGATGTGCATTATTCCGATTGATGAGGCGATATAGATTGGCGTAATGTCCTCCCCGTTGTCAGGCACTAAGGGACCCCGGGAAATGCTTGACGAGCTCTTCGGGAATCGGCTTCCGGGGACCCCCCTGCGCTGATACCCGCGATGAGTGCTGATCCCGGAACCCGTCGCGAGCAATTTCCTCGCCTTGTTTCGTCGACTGATGACGGGAAGGTTTGCAGACGTCGTATCTCATTAGACGGGCTTTGTGCTGTTCGGGGAACGAGATATTATTCTGGGAGCAGTCGTTGGCTGCTGGTGCCGCGGGCAGCAATGGAGAAGTGCGTGACAGGGGATGTTTCATAAGTTTTTGGGGATGCCAGGTTGTAAGTTCAGCGTATCGAAAACCAGCGCCCCTTTATATTATAATCCAGGCAAAAAAACGTCATGGCATCCAACGTTTTGTTTGTAGGGTTCCTTGGTTTGCCGTGGTACGCTAGTTACGTTTAGGAAAACTGATACCAGGTGTTTCCTGATGACTGGAGATGGTCTAGTTCCCCTGGTAAATTTTGGGTGTACAGTACGATTGTACAGTGAGAGTGGTTTATTCTTTAATAAGTCTCTTGTTTTTCCTGAACAGTTGAATTGGGGGAAACATTCAAGACTTAACGCAGATAAAGCGATGGTTCTCCGAGATGATCCCTTTTTTTTTTTTAATCGTGACATATCAAGAGTCACACTTTCGAAAACGATGTCGGATCAGACTCCCTTTGACTAAAGGCTGCTCGGCTTGACAGCTAGATCAACCACAACGAACCAGTTACTTCTTTTTATTTGACTCTAAACATGTTAACAGAAGGAAGAAAAACGAAGTCCGGTTACATAACTCAACATTCAGGGAACGCGGAAGTGTTGCTAAAAATAATTTCTGTCGATTACTAAAGTCATTTCGCGTGGCTTCATCGCGTCTGCTTTCGTAGAACCAGCATACAGTATTCGTATGTGAGGCACGAGTCGTACCTCCCTTTCGAATCTCGATTGCAACCTCGATCGGTAAAACTTTGAAGTATTTTGAACCCTGGGGAAATTTGATGAACTATCTGTAGTTCGAAATTGTATTATTCATCTTATTTGAAGGGACGTGTCTGATTAAAAAAAGAAACTTGTGAACCATCCCTCGCGCGCGTGTGTGTGGGGGGGATCGATCAGGTTTTGCCCGGGTTTCCTCTTCTACCGCGGGATCCTTGTATACCTCAGAGTTATGAAGTTGCACCGCAGGGCAGACCGCGATTTCCCTTTGATATTTCTTTAAATTGAATGTCATAGTTCTCAGTGTGAAAGCTTTTGCTACAGCCTAGTCTGAGGGAAACTGATTTCCGACGAGCCGAACTGTCGATCTAGTTGGTGTTGCTTGGTCAATGAAGAAAAATAAACTGAGATTTGTACAATTTAGAAGGAAGAAAAACGAAGTCCGGTTACATAACTCAACATTCAGGGAACGCGGAAGTGTTGCTAAGAATAATTTCTGTCGATTACTAAAGTCATTTCGCGTGGCTTTATCGCGTCTGCTTTCGTAGAACCAGCATGCAGTATTTGTATGTGAGGCACGAGTCGTACCTCCTTTTCGAATCTCGATTGCAACCTCGATCGGTAAAACTTTGAAGTATTTTGAACCCTGGGGAAATTTGATGAACTATCTGTAGTTCGAAATTGTATTATTCATCTTAGTTGAAGGGACGTGTCTGATTAAAAAAAAAGAAACTTGTGAACCATCCCTCGCGCGCGTGTGTGTGTGGGGGATCGATCAGGTTTTGCCCGGGTTTCCTCTTCTACCGCGGGATCCTTGTATACCTCAGAGTTATGAAGTTGCACCGCAGGGCAGACC